TCGTCTGTATTTCAATTACCTACCATACAGTTCCTTTGATGTGTGTTACTAGCACGACTCGGTTAATAGCCTGGCACTCGATGTGTGTCGGCCCTAATGCGGTAAAGATGTATAATATCATGGAGCTCGCTTTGGTGTCCTAGTACTAATCAACCTCATTGACTTGTTTTAAAAAGTTGGCCGTACAAAAAGCGCAACGAAACAAACAACCGAGCGGCACCTAAATTTAAACAAAACACCCAGTATTTCTTCTATTCTATCGCACCTAACAGAGACGGATGGCGGTACTAAATTTGCGACGGTCGAAGGCAAATTTGTTCGTCTTTTGCTTCGACTCCAGTCGTAACTTACTCGATAATGGTCCCGGCTTTTCTAGGATTCTGTGCAAAAAGAAACGGTTTAGTGCCATTGATTTAGTTTGGCCAGATAAGATGTAAGGTAAACGTCAGGTGATACGTTTCTTGGTTCAACAGGACGGAGTAGTGAATAATATAGGCGTAAATAATAAAAATGTAGCATAATCTATTAATTGACATCAACATAACAATAAATGTAGCCACTGGTACTTTAATATGTCTGTACAAATATTTTGTTACTCGTGAAACTGAACAACGTACCACAGTATCTTTAAAAAAAAAAATTGCGAATAGAACACACCCTAATAATATTTGCACTGATAAATTATTATTAAAATCCTCATATATTGGACCCAAGGACCTACTAAAATGAAAAACTCAATAAAAACAAGCGAGCAGGTCAGTAAGTACTCAGTCATGTTTAGAAAACCTGCTACTTTCGTCAGACAACTATGCTTCGAGTTTCAGAATCATCAGATTGAAAGAATTACAGTCCACTGCTGGAAATGAGCTCGTCCTAATTATAGCATACATTACCACTATAATAAGTGTAGCTACCTAGATGCTATGCCCGTTGCATAATTTGGTCCTTCTGCATGTTTCTAGCTGCTAAAATCTTACAGCTGAATATCTCTCCTGTTTTCGCCCGTGCCCAAACACAACTCCTCACACTAGCTTAACTCTAAAATGTATCCCAAAATCTAAAATGTATTCTGTCCGCGCCAGGACATGTTGGGTATTCGAATATTTGAATATTTATTAACGGCCACAGCTGCGGCGACAGAATTTGACGGATTTTCATATATTTTGATATATTTCGACTGTTTCTGATGTAGGCTTGCGATGTTGGACCCTTATGATAATCTGGATGAGCTGCGAGGCAAGAGACGGATTTGCACATGACCCGTCCGGGTGTTTGCATGGTTACGAAAGATATATTTGTTTTTTATTCAAGTGTTTACCGGATATCGTCGGTGCTCGCCTTTATAAGGATAGTTATCATCACTAGGAAGTGTAGAAAGTCAAGAAGAAAATGTATTGTGAGAACTTTGCATAACGCACACAGAATATGAGCCACTGATCACTGGATTGACTTCTTTTTCTTCTAAATATCCTACGTTATATGTGTATATGTATATAATTGAGACCAAATAAAGCACTGATACTCAAAACCACGAAAATGAAAAATTACCTAGCTTCCACAGCACGTGAAACAGAACGAAATGATGAAGCCTTTTCTCTGTACATGAATTACTGAAAAAAAGCAGCAGAAAATAAGCTTCTCACATCAGCCTCCACAGCACAACACATACATAATACAGTCGGTAATTTGCGTACGATCTGTGCCAAATGTACTTGGCTGGGGCCCAACTCGGTCGCGGTTTCGGCCCCATACGTAGGTTAGAAGAGTTTTGCTAGGCTCTCGATTAGGCGTTCGTAAATTCGATCGCTGAAGAGCACCCGGTTTAATATTCGGTTAAAATATCGCTAAGGGTGAATTAAACCGAAATAAGAACTAGGTTTCACGAATTGGCACAACCAAATCTTTCTGTCTTCGGTTAAAACCGCGTGAAGAGTTTTTCGCATGTTTTTCGTTTCTTAATAAATTTATTTTCAATGGCACATTATGCTGGAGCTCTGTTTCTAGATAGATACCATAACAGCCACAGCAGTCCACTGCTGTACATGGGCATACCCCTCTCGCAGGGTTGTTTCTAGATAGGTATTACGATATATGCTAAGTAGGTATAGATAGAAAACCAAAATATACAGATTTGTGACAGCTTACGCAAACAGAATAAAAACTTATGAAAAAACTAAAAAGAACTTTTTCATGTACCGTCATCCATAAGTCATAACATAACACCTGCTGCTTACAAATTTTTATCAACAACCTTACATGTTTAGAAATCCTACCGTGCCCTTCGAGCACCTAACCTTGTAATGCATAAATCACAAGGAGAACACACCTCCAAACTTTTTTAATTTGTAAAACAAATCGCCATACATTACCTGCGCCTTTGTGTGAATTCGTTCATATGTTACTGTCTTGTTGTCTAATGAAATATTACGCTTTGTATTGTATGTATTTTTTTTTTCGTTTGCGAAAGCCTTACGGAGAATTATGGACCCTAATTTCATGTGTGTGCAGTAAGTCACGCCTATATATCGTAACTGGGTCGGCAGATTGCTTAGGTATACGTATTCAGTAGTAGATAATATAGGAAAACTACTAAAAGAAATGTGCGATATCTACCAATCATTATGAAAAAAGAATTAGTTAAATAAGACCATCTTCAAAATGACTAGATTTAGTAAAGGTACTCTGGTTTTTGTTGCAATTTAAGACAGTTTTCGCACTTGGATTGTTCTGCCTTGGCCTTAAAACCTTTACAACTTTTTTCATCAAGCAGCTTAAGAGGCAAGTACAAGCCCTAACTTATTTACTCCGTCAGTAGGGTAAAGGCTCCAATAATTGTACGTAGCCGGGTTGGCTGTAGGCCAGGCGTTGACAGCTCCTGAGGAAACAATTAAGATTTTATCAGGCGCCGACAAAGCGTGCGGCTACCCCGGCCACCCTACTTACAGCGTGAGGATATAGAAACTTAGACTTAGATAAATGGGGGTTTAAAACAGCCTGTTTCTTGAATAGTTTTTAAAGTGGGAAACGGGTTTCCGACATGAAGATTGCGAGATGGAAGCGTGTTAATGAATAGTCTGAAGAAAACTACGGAACTCTTTACTGGGTTAGCTAGCATGCTGTATGCACGAATGTATTGGATTTTTAATGCACGTACAGTGCTATATTATTCTCATAAATTGAAAATCAAGAGGTTGATAAAGTCGTCAGGGTCAGCCAGGCGTCCGTAGATCGGGTTTCAGATCGCTGATGAATTCTTCAATTTTCTTATTGTATTAGTTTTAGTTTTACGAAAAAATAATATGTTTTTCGCGGGTTCTGGACAACAAAAGCAGGCTCGTTTGTAGTAGTTTCCGATACACGTATAACTCTCATGCTCCGCTGTAAAAGCTTTAATAACAGTTTCGATAAAAATCCAAACAGTAATGAAAGCTATTTTACTATTCGTATTTTATCGACCAACATTGTTTGACCTAATTTCGAAACAAAATACGGTTATGAAAACAAGCAAACTGTTAGATACGGGATCCGGTTTTAAAATACACACCCAGCTGAAATTCTAATGTGCTCTCTTACACAGTAGATAGGACAATTAGGGAAGTATTGGCGAGTAAGAAGAGGACTAGATGGACACAGCCACGGTTAGGGTAGGTGAGGTACTATCGTCAGCAAAACCACCTAAAAGTAGGGTTCTGACTTCTGCCTGTACTCGAGCAAATCCACCTTTCTATTTAGTGGACCAACTTACACTGGCATTTCATACAATTACTAAGAAAAACGAGTATAAGTTGATCCCTTGAATGGGTAGGTGGATTTGCTGGTGATAGCACGAGTAGGTACCTATACTTATCGTAAATATCAACAGAAAGATAAAATCTAGAGCATAGGTTAAAACGGTTTCTGAAAGTAATGAGCATAGCTAGAAGGTAAGGTAGTATATAAACTCCTAATCAAGCAATCTCCTTGAAGTGACAAGCAAAATAGCTATTTTAGAGAATTTTTCGAAATTTCACTGTTTTTGACGTTTTAATCCCCAACGGACTCTATCTAAATGGCATCAGCGCAGAACTTGGGGCGATGCCAAAGCCTGTATCAGCTACCTAGCTGAGTTTGAGGTACGAGAGGATGTTTTTGGCTATTATTGAATTAAGGTATAGTGGAAATCAGACTTATTGAAAGGCTAGTGTAGTAGGAGAATTTTGAAATAATTATTAAATGACTTCCGAAAATTGAAACCATAGTACTTAATACACTACAGGTGCCATTTAAGAAAGACCTCTGTTTTTATTGATTTTAAACAGTCGCAGAAATGACCCCTGACTACTAAATAGCCTGATTAGTAAATCAGGTCATGTAATAGTCAGGTGTAGGTTTCATTGCCCCAGAGTCTCTCTTTTGGCGGATAATCTCGTTCCAGACTTTATCCATTAGCGAGATCCTTAGCTCTCTGAGTGATGTGTAGCCTGTGGGCCAGTTTCACTAAAAGATAATTTAAGATAATATTAATGAATCTTATTTATTCATCAGTGCTACTGTGTTCAGGAAATGTTCACCAATACAATTAGTCCGCACCCTATGACCATTCTGAATTATATTATGCTTCCTTGTTGCACTCGCCGTGGCGCTATGTGCTAATAATGTGCAAGCGTGTTCGATTTTCTATACAGCTTAATGCAAAACTTCCTCACAGTTTTTTATAAAAACAATTCGATTTGACACGCCTTTAGATGTATTGGAATTTTAATGCACTCACAGCGCTACATAATTCTCATACATTAAATAATGAGAAAATTGAAAAATTCATTAGCGACCGCCGGGACTTGAACCCGGGACTGTGGATTGCCGTTCCACCGCTCTACCAACTGAGCTACGGGCGCCTAGCGGACCCTAGTGAATCTTTCAACCTCTTGATGCTCGTATTTAGTTATACTACTAGATGTCGCTTAATCGTTTTGCTTCGAGACGAGCATCAAGAGGATGAAAGATTCACTAGGGTCCGCTAGGCGCCCGTAGCTCAGTTGGTAGAGCGCCGAGCGGTGGAACGGCAATCCACAGTCCCGGGTTCAAGTCCCGGCGGTCGCTAATGAATTTTTCAATTTTCTCATTATTTAATTTATGAGAATAATATAACGCCTTTAGTTTTCACGTGCACGAGATAAGTCTCTCTACAGAACACATCATAAACCTACTGGCATGTTACGATAAGGCAGCGCTAGGTACTTGCATCTTCGTCACACGGTGAATTTTCCCGAGTTAACCTATTTAAGAAGTCAATTTACCAACATCGGATTGCTCCAAACCTTCCATCAGGCGGAATCTCACACTAGCTGGATGCATTTGGCCGGGGTCCAAGCTGCTGGGATGCTATTTAGATCCTATCTCGCGAATTAAACATATCATTGGCCCGTCAGTCTAAAGCTGGGAAAGAGCTGAGTAATCAGTGTTAGTGGGTGGTAGAGGAGCACTTCAAGTTGCCAGTTTAAGGGGTCAACTGGTACTGGTTTTTTGAATAGTCATTTAGAAGAACTAGTAAAGTCTCCTGCAGAGTTACTGACCCCGATGACAGCCGATGTGGCGCAGTGGTTAGTATGCCTGTCTGCCACGCAAAGGTTGCGGGTTCAATTCCCGGTAGGGTCACTCACAAAGTTGATATTTATCACTTTGTGAATTTGTTCCCAGTTTGGCTAGGACATTGCATGCTGAACCACCTGATTGTCCGCAATTAAGATGGTTCCGTGCTTCGGATGGGCATGTTAATGTTAATGTTGCTGTCTATGATGGCGGTCGTTACACAACCATATGTCAGAGGCCTGCTACTTGCAGTAGGCGGTTGAAAAACTCTGTCACCAGGGCTCATCGGGTCGTTGAACGACTCGGTGTCCCACACGAAAATAGAGAAGAGACCTGACCCCTGTAGTCGGGGCAGGGGGGTCTAAATCTGCATGTGACTGTACATATTGATCATTTATTACTTTATTAGTTAGATATAACTCGAGCTGCTAAAAGTACCTGAAGCTGCAGCGGTGTGCCTCATCTACTTAAGCATGTATTATCAAACAAACTTAACAAGCATATCTCATATCAGACCACGCACGACCAACTTTTGATTGGGACCTCGAAAACATGGTCGTACTTGAGTAAGGTCAAAAAGTAGGGAGCATAAGTTTGCTTTCCAACGCTGGATAAACGGTCCTGTATCATACGGGTCACTTACTTGTTGGGTTTGGATCTAAGAGTGAAAACATCCGGAAAAATCTTCACTTGACATTATGAGTGAAGGGTTCTGACTGTACTCGAGCAAATGCACCCATTCATTTAAGAGACCAACTTATACTGGTTTCTCATACAAATACTAAGCGAAACCAGTATAAGTTGAACTCTTTAATGTGTAGGTGGTCAAACGATGCTGGAAATAATACTGTAAAGCAAATTAGTCAAACGTACAAGTAGAAACTAGTAGTTCCAAACACAATTCTATAGTGATAGTTTAAATTCATCGTCCCTCCCCCCTTAAAGTTAAAAAAGAAATATTACTTTTCGGAAGACTGTTTAACATATACCGACGAGATGCGATTAAAATGAACTTCCATTAAACAATTACAGTCGCAATAATCTCACATAAAAATAAAAAGGAATTTAATATCCTGATTTTAAATTGCAGTGATACTTAACATGAACATAAAATATCATAAAAACAAACATTATTTTTATGCCAAGGCCTCCATGATTATTCCGCTGGCATTTAAGGAAAATAAAATAAAAAGTTGGCAAGAGTAAGGCAGGTTTCGCATGCCGGGTTCCGCCCATCCGTTTGAAATTTGCTTAATGTTATTTTGCTATTTTCATTACTTCGTATTTGAATTTCGGTCTGGAATTCTCCACTTTTTTTGTCTCTGAGCTTGTGTCGTAGCCTATAGTAAAATATACAAATCATTCAAAAATATATGATTTCCATTTAGTAGCAAACGATTCGTGAAAATAGGCTGGCAACGAAAGTGCGCCTAATTATTGATACTTTCGTTTTTTTTTCATACTTAAATCAAAACTAAAATGTAGGTATCTAATAAATAAGCACATAAGCATAACCTACCATATGTGACTTTCATAGTACGTAATTTTTCATTGTAGTTTCTTCAGTGATACATAGTTGAGGCATACCACCAAAACTACAACTTTGTCCAGCAACGTGGGACGTTTGTGGTAGCTTACCTATATTTAAGCTTAAGACATAAAGCTACAGAAACTTGTAGATCCGAAATGATTTTTAGTTACTTACGTATTAACAATGTCCTTGTATCTTACACCAAAATACTAGAAACCAGAGGATTCTGTGCGGGACATTTTCATGGAATGCTCCAGTTTAGTTTTGTACAAGAGTAGATAATTTTGCGGAACCCTAAAATGCGTCAGTCAACGTTCTGCGGTGCGTAAGCGCCGACAGTCTTGTCAATTAAACCTGCTGAGTTATTAACATGGAGCACGCAAGTGCAAGATTCGATTCCCGACCGTGCCATAATTTTGATAAGCATTATCATATTATTTTATAAAAATGTCTCTATAATTTTACCTTCCTTATGGAAATAGATTACTCGGGAAGTATTTTACAAACGATATAAAGGCATTGATATAATACTTACATACCTATACCGGTTGTAACGGAAAGGGTATAACAAGCCGAAAGGAGGTCAAGGTACTCATGAAACTGAACAACTTTCCCCATGGAACATGGGTCAAAATATGAAAATAAAATTTGGACCTCCCATAGTAAATCAATTAGCATATCGGCGATTTTGTATGGGAGGTCCAAATTTTATTTTTATATGTCGACCCATGTTCCATGGGGAAAGTTGTTCAGTTTCATGAGTACCTTGACTTCCTTTCGGCTTGTTATACCCTTTCCGTTATTCCCTGTATACTTAAGATTTTTATTTTATTTAAAAAATTACATTACTTATCGCATTAATTAGTTCTCAATGCAACCAATTAAACATTCTTAGGCTAGGAGTTGTCGAGTCAATATTATCTAAAGTCCAAGACAACTTCAAAGACAAACCAAGCCCAAAGACAACTCCTCAACGTTCCTATCTGACGATTTATTAAAGCATTCTTCCTCTACATATTACTGCTAATTACATTACCGCTTTGATTCATCTGTCGCTCACTTTGACGTATGAATCAGCGGTAATGGAATGCCCACTGGTCAGTTTGCATCAAACGCATTACTTCAATCAGGACCTGAATTGGACATGGCACTATAGGACGATTAACTGGTGATTAGAATTGAATTCAATCGAGGAATTCTAGGTACATCGGTTGGTCATTTATCGTTAGGTTAATCTTGGCGATGAGTCAGGGAAGCTGGATGGACATTAACGGAAGTGACAAGGCACCATCGAAACCAATCAACGACGAAATTATCTTTAAAAAAGATTTTGGATAGGACACTGCCTAAGAAGATCGAATGACAACATGTCAAATATACCGTAGAAGGCAAGGCCGCCCCCACCATTATTACCTGGAGAAGACTTATCCCCACTAACTTACTCCTGTGGCTCAGGGACCCAAAGTAGGCCGGAATCTATGCGAAATAAAATCTGCCGGAACAACAAAGGCCGACGCTGAAAAAAAGCCCAAAATAGAAATGTCTGCAGAAAAATTGTTGAGGCCCTATGCTCCACGAGGAGTTTAAGGATCAATCTTCAGATAGACATTAGACCGATGAACATTCGATCGAAAATACGAAAACTAAAACTGCGAAGAAAGTTTGCTCTTACAACCACTATTACGTAGGCTTATTTACCCGACTTGTGGGTAAGTAAATTTTTGGTCTTTCGAAAGTCTGTCTTTCATTTACAATGACAAAATAATTAAAATAATGTTTTAATGTAATATAATAACCGATTACTTTGAGCTAAAATCTCCTTTGAAAGTTAATATCATTATGTAATAACGCACCGAATTCGGTCGACGTATTAACGAAATTAATATTGTTACCGCAGATGCCAAAAAGTAACTAGGTATTTTGTAAAATTACATACATAACATACATTATACACATAATCATCATCCTGCCCTCATCCCAAACCAGGTGGGATCGGCGCAACATGTTTTGTTGACATCGTTGTTGTACATATATTTACACATATCCCCCCCTTTATCCCTTGCGAGGTAGGCAGAACATAGTAAAGTCTCAGGTTGTCAGCCTGCCGCCGAAAATTGTAACACACATGAATCGCTCGAATTCCATAGTAGCGACACATGCGAGATATAAGTGTGATGATGCTTTTCTAAGTCGCCACCACAAGGTTTTAAATAAAATGGTAAAATCGAGTAGGTAAATAGGTAGCTATTTATTAAAAGATCAGGAGAAACCGTCAAACAAAACCATCTGCTCGAACTTTTATTGCTAGTATTTTTTTATTAAATGACATGTGATTAAAAAAATAAAAGCCCAACACAACATCACAACACAAGCCTTTTTTCCATTAACAAAATAATAAAATCACGAAAAAATCTAATTATTATTTTTTCGACACAACCCTTTAACTTTTCGGAGTGCCATCACATTTTTATTCGGTCCCATGCAAATATAATGTTAATGAGTATTTAACATAATTTTCGGCTTGTCGGCTTGTTTTGTGTCGTATGAAAATTACGGCCCTTCCCCGAGTGACATTCAATTTGCAAGCCCACGGGAAAGTTCGAACGCTGTTATTCTGCTAACGGTTTACGTAGCGTGCGGTGCCGGCTTAGAATAGCATCACCCGGATCACCCTATATCTTTCCCGTGGGTGTCTTAAGAATCGACTAAGGGATTTTATGACTTGATGTGTATTGATATTTTAGGCAACAGACTGACAACCTGTCACTGTAGTGATATATATGCACAGTCTTCTGAATGACCTACACATTAGTCAGGTCGTTTTTTACAGCCGTTGACGCTCTGCCTACCCCGCAAGAGATATCCCATATTGGTGAGATGTATGTATGCATGTATGTATGTTTACGAACCAGCCACTACCTATAGAGACTGCCTGCATTAGCACCACACCCTAAGTCAAAAATGCGTTCTTCAAGCATTA